ATCCACCTCGGTGGGGCTCTGCCTGGAGTCCCTTCTCCTCCTCCCAGACGCCGATTAGCTATGAAACTGGTGAGAATAAAGTCATCTGGGAAGCCCCTAGTTTTCTGTCAGTCGTTGCTGAGGTTGGCCGGTGGCTAAAAGCTAGCCTCGTGGCACGGGGAGGACGAGCTTCGCCACCACGCAGCTCCTCGCCTGCTCCTCCGTCCAGCCCCGCTGACGACGCGGCACGTCCGCAGCTCGCCTGGTTGTGCCCAATGACCTTGAGCATGGCCCCAAAAACCTCAGCCTCCCCTTGCCCCAGTGCCTCGCTGACGCTTCAGCAAGTGAGCGTGGTCGTCCAACATGGGATTTTAAAATATAAATAAGATCACAGAAATTGCTGGAAGCTACCAACAGCAATATGAAACCTTACAGAAGACAGAAAGCCCTAATTATAGTTTCTGAACCTATGAAGTCATCTAATACACATATGTTGCTCTACACTGCAAGGAGGAAAAAGGAGACATGCAGTACTTATTACCATCCTCATAAAGAGGAGAGAAAACCAGACTTTGGAAGCTTTTGGAAATTTGTAATTTAGAAAAATCTGCATAAAACCAGAAAATCAGCTCTACTTTAGTTTAAAAAAAAAAAAAAAAAGTTTAGGTTTAATTATAAAAGCAATATTATTTGCTCATTCCACAGTGCCATGCAGCATTGCAAGCCTTCATACTGTCAGTTTTTATTGATCTTCTGGATCAAAGTTACTTAACATAAATCTGAAAAATACTTGGTATTTCACCTCAATGCTAAAACTGACGGATCTACTTCAGGCGAGGAAGGAAGATGGCATGCTCACTGGCTCATGTATCATCAAAAAATGACTACTTTAATCAGACAACGATTCAAGAACAAAATTAGGCTTCCCCTTCTAGCACTGTACACCCTGTGCAAAATCAACAGCAGTAAAAAATACCATCAATCTTCATTCATAAGTGAAGGATGTGGCTGCAACCCTAAATACATAGTAGGGGGGAAACTACTGAGAAAGGAAATGCCATTTTTACATAATCATTTCTTAAAACAGAGCTGCATTCTCTAATACACCCTGGAGAGTGCAGTCTATTGATAACAACAGAATATTGCATTCAATAATTGTGAAGGAAGGATTTTAAAATATTTCAATCCTATCTGGCTATGCATTTTTAAAAATTTTACAGTATTTTGCAGTTCTGTGATAAAAAGCCCTCTTATTTGCTCGAGACAAGACTTCAGAAAGCTTTAGACAGAGCAGATTTTCTTAAATTATCTTGAAAATTCAGTTTCCAGGGCAACATATGCAGGTCTTCATACATCAACATTTCTTTGCACCGTTTTTATAAATGTGGTTGCTTGCTAGAATGTCCTAAAATACTTCTTAAATACAGTAAACTATTTTGATCACTTTGATCCTTTTTTTTTTTTTGCCCTTGAAAAAAGCTGACTGTCCTTGCTTTTCAGAAGAATCACATCAATAAAACCGTCAAATTGTTTTACTTCAGAGAGGTTTTATCCCAGAAACGCCTGCAGTGACACCCATGCGCGTAATACGTTTCTACCAGCACCTGAATGTTTATGTAACATTTCAGTACGCATCCCTTATTCATCACGCCTTTCCTTACCTTCTTTTCAGTTTGCAAGCAGGAGACACGACGTAGGATCTACGCTGGGCGTCTGCTGGCTTACACACCGAATTAACCCGAATGCCCGTTTCGCAGCAGCAGCGTGGAATTTGCTGATGCCCACCTTGCACGTCGAGATGCTCAGCGAGTCTCATACAAGCGGTATAACAGAAATAAAGCTAACAACACATCTATTTCCTCCTCCCTTCTGAAGGGGTGGGGGGATAAATCCCTTAGTGACAATTATCATTTCCCCTCCACGTGTGCTTGAGACGCGCTCCGCATCACTGCCGCGACGCTACCGAAACAGGTACCCGAAACCAGCCGCAGCAGGGTGGGTACGTTTCCTTCTTCGATTTTAACAGGGGTCAGATCAGACCTGTGCCACACGGCGCGACGGTGGAGCGGGCAGCACATTGAACAGCTACAACATTAGGACTGTCGTAGGAAAAGAAGAGTGAACGACTGTTACCTGCACATTTTACTCCCTGAGCAATGAGGCCCCACATAAAGTTGGCGCAGTATTCACACCAGTGCGGACCCCTGAACGTGTGCACCTGCAAGACAGCAGCAGAAAGGAGAATTACAGAACGTGACCCAAGTATTTCACAGACATCAATATCAATGTGTCTAAGCAAGGCAGAATTCCTTTTCTTCGAGGGCACCGCGTGCAGTCGCTGGAAGCTTCCCTTTACCACCGCAGGAAAGGAAGAGAGAAACGTAACAAAGATTTAACTGCCAAGGCTCTCGCAGAGCTATGGGAAACAGGGGCTCTCCATCCCGAGCCATCCGGAGCAGCAGCACCGGCTCTGCGGGGGTCCGCTCCCAGGCCAGGCGGAGTGGAGGAGCACCAGCGGGTCGCAGCCCTTCTCCCACCGCCCGGCATCCCTCCGGCTGGATTTTAGCCACGGGGCAAGGCTTTTGCAGCAACCATGCAAGAGTTCACCTCTCAATTCCAGCCGTCTTCTGCTCTGCCCTCCCCTTACCGTGTGAAGTGCGCAGGGGGCCGCAAGGTTTCGCCTGGGGCAGAGGGAGTCCTGCCAGGCAAAAATACCAGGGCTACACAGAAATACTGCGAACACACTTCGGGACTTTCCAGTTTAGAATAACTCTAAAAGGAAATTAATTCTCTTCAGACCAATGCTGCATATTGAAAACCCAAATGCAATCTAGTAAATGGAAAAAAAGAACCCACTGAACCAGGAAAAAATTCAAGAAGAAAAAAAACCCAATGCTGCTTTCAATCCCGGCTCACAAGCGTGTTACCAGTCCTGCAGCCGCCGCTAGCTGCTTCTGATTTTAT